TAAATGCACTGACTGAATAATGCATAGACTTACCTCCTCGTGGTGCACCCTGGGCAACGTATACTCTTACGGCAAAAAAGTCTATTAACTGGCAGTTGACTTCGGACTTCAAACTACAATGGCCCAACTGTGTGCCATATTTAACCACTTCATAGTACTCATCTTACTCTTTCTCTGCCTTTGCGTCTGTCTGTCTCTTTTACATCTTTGAATCACTCTTCTGTTTCCCTTCTCGAATTTTTCTCACTATAATGTTCCTCCTCCTCTTTGTGAAACCCAAAGTCAGCTAAAGAGCTAATGATTACTATCAAAACACCTGTCATTTGAAATAAAAAAAATTAACTTGATATTTTGAGTTAAGGAGCGTTCAATGAAAAGTGATGTTCATCATATGACCATATAGCAAATAATTCAGTTTGATTATTTATGATAAACTTTTTTATGTGCCTTCTCATCAGAATTTCATAATTACTGTACAATTTTCAGTCAATCAGACCCTGTTAATCGTTTTATCAAATAAGACTACGTCACAAATGGTCTGCGATCAAGTAACCGTAATTGACTCAAATACAACTTGACCTTTAACTCGAACTTGTGTCGCACCCACGATATCTATCAGCATCTGTAGATCGCTCAAAAAATATTCTTCTTTGTGATAAATTAAAGTTGGCATTTCGTAAAATCTATTGGGTTAGAGATGCTCATGTGCTATGCTTAGTCCACTGATTCGCCAATGTCTGATATCAAATATTGTAAACCTTCTTACTGAATCCATAGTTAAGAAATTTACATGTTCTCAACTTTGATCCCGCTTTTTAAACCGATTGCTCTTGATTTCTAAACATCAAAATCTTCAAAGGGCAAATACCCTAAGTGGAACAAACATACTACGCACGATGTATCCTAAATGCAATGAATTTCTAAGCCACAAACAATTAGAACTTATAAGAATATCTTTCTCTGAGTCACCTAGCAAATTACTTTTGAGACTACTTATTTTGCAAAATGGCGCCAACATGGGCATAATTACTACCTACGTAGGGGCTTGTCAGTACTTAAAAGTCACTTTTGAGACAATTCGTTCTTCCTTGTGATTAGAAATGACAGTGAAATGTAGTTAAAAGAGAAATGGGGAGGATATAGTAGCTTTGGTCTACTCTTTTTTGCATATCCAGCCCATATGGTCGTTAACTTACTTTTAACTCCATGGCCACACATTGTAATTAGTTGTTTTCACAGAGCCATCTCAAGCTATACACATAAAAGTTTAGTCAACATTGGTATTGATGAAACAGTAAAAACCGAAACAAATCACAATCCTTTCGCTAGATTATCGATTATAAAAAGTGCACGTTCAGACCTGAATGTGTAGGACCAAAAGTTAGAAAGCCATCGATCGAGTACTCAATCATTTAGCACATAGTCAATTCCATGTGTAACTAAAGCTACTTTCGTAATGGAAAAGTCGAAGTTTAGTGCAACAGGTCTTCTCGCTTCCTCCTCGAGCCTGAGTAGTTGAAGCTTTGAAAGTATTAACTCGGAACCTTGGAAGCGACTAACGCACCATCAAGCACTATTGAGTAAAACTAGCATAAAAAATGAAACTGTTAAGTCAGCACTTCTACAAAAAATTTGTGAAGCTCTCAGTGTAAAGTTTAACAATCTGTCGAAAAAGTGAGAAATGTATTTTTCAAAAAAAATAAAACAACAGTTTCATATGTTTGGTTATTTTATCATTAATCAATTATATATTTTATAAAATTGGTAAAAGGTACAAAAACTGCGGATAGCTGATGGGTGGGAATTTGAGAGAATTGCAATTTTCAATTAAACCTGTGAAATCATCAACCTCAAGGGTTTGAGTTAGGTTTAAGGGGGTAATAAGGCTATTTTAAGAGGTGCGGGGAAATAAATAAATTTTTTGGCACTTTACCCCAATGCCTAAATCAAGCGTTCCGCAAATCTCCCAATTATCAGTTCCACTACGTCTATGTTTCCTCAACTTATTAGTTATTATTGTATATATATTAGAATTCCCAAGCCTGTAGATTCACTAAAATGTTCCTCAGTTCATTCATGATCCTGAATGTGACAATTTTTTCGGATTGTAGCTAAACAAACACAAATATGTGTTCACATTGAATTTAGTTAAATGGGATGGGAAAACAAGGGTTCGTTGTATTGCCAAGAATCTGGATCCTGTTGTAAGTGAACGAAACCTAAATTTCGCCCTGTATATAAGGAATTAGATAAATTAAAGAACGCTAAGATTACCCCGGTCATTTGTAGAAATTCGAGGCCAAAACTTCTCCCTCTGACTGCCTCGAACTTGTGACCAAGCATTACGAGGACTTGTATAACTGTGCGGAGTTGTGAACTTTCAATGCAACAAGCTAAATTTCACCAACTTAACAGAATAGTTCCAATTTCCTATTTTTATCTCTGAACATCAAACAATTCCGGCCACCACCTAGAATCGTCTATGGAAGTGAACGGAGGGACATCCCGACGCGCAGCTATAACAAGGGGTTAGAGGAAGAGGCAAATCTCATGTGTGATTCAATTCCCATGTTTCCAACCCCGAGCCAACATGTCTGGTGTAAAAATGTCTGTCCCTACACCACAATCGTCAAAGCTTCTGACATACCCGAGTCCTTCTGTTGAACAGAAGCTGCACTCAACCTGAACTTGCTACCGAGGAAGGCATTTCCTTCAACAATTTATTTTCAAATAGTAGTGCCATAAAGTTAAATTTAAAGAAGTCTGTTGCCAACAAGCCTCAATAGAACTCCCGAATACTCCACCAATAACATGACCAAGACTAATCAGGGGCAGGTGGTTCCAATTTTCGATTAAAAAAATAGACACTACAGATCTATGTCAGGTTATTTTGGATCCAAAGTAGTATTATCTACCATCCTTATCGATACAATGCAAAGCTGGAAATATATAAATTAACAAATCAACGGTAATCATGTTTGTCTACAACTAGATATCGTTTCAGAACTCATTATAATCTCGATCCAGGGGTGTACGATAGACTTACCTCCACATGGTGCACCCTGGGCAACGTATACTCTTACGGCAAAAAAGTCCCCCTCTCGACTTTTTGCCACTTTGATGTTCCTCTTCCTTTCTGTGAAGCCCGAAGTCAACTAAAGGGCTAATGATACCTATCATAACGCCAGCCATTTGAAATAAATAAACTCAATCCACAGAGACAATCATCTCATCTACAACCAATGCTAGCGGCGTGTCTGTCAAACTGCCAAGGAAATCAAGCTCCAACTTGACCTACCAGGACAGTGGATTTTCAACCGCGGTCTATATGGCAGACTCTCAACTTAACCTGCTTGGTCTCGACTGACTAGATCAACTTGGTCCTTTGAAACTGTACATAAATGGCATTTTCAGTTGTATGAGTTCGACTGTTTCTTTCATAGGAGAGATGATAGTTCAGCGTTTCTACGTGGTAGTTCAAGAAGTTCTTGGACTATAAAAGCATATCAGGGCGATAATAAAACCACCCCCTATTGCTCTGTATCTTACGTAAAGTGAGCTGAGCTTTGTTTCAATATTCAGTGGATGAATAGATCTATTCTGTCACGCATCGACTATTGACAGTCTAAATGTCACTTTGGAGCTTAATTATTATCTACCAGCAGCTTCAATTGACGCTTCTCTACATTGATAGGTTGTCAATACTTTACAAATCGTCGCTGCATCAGAGTGACAAGAGCTACTGACCATCAATTTGTGTCCTGGGCTATGCCAATAGAGGGAACCGACTTTTAACGAAATTAAAATACCAATAAAAGGCAAATTCTGCGCGATTAGGCCATTCGCTCCTTTTTACTAAGGCAGCATCAATGATAAATTAATATGACTGCAGAAAAATTCGATATATCATAAAGTGAGTGCCGCTTGTGCCATATAAGTAGGTACTATTTTGCCAAAAATATGCAGTAGCGAGTCACGTTTATTCCTACTTATTTAAAATGAGCAATATTGTTGCAAAAATAGTTGTTTCGTAGAGCATCAGACACGCGGAAAGGAAAGCTACAAATTTTTAAATATTGATGACTTAAGAGTACGCGAAAAGGAAATGTTATTCTTCAGAAAATTGGGGAATTGCCCGGTAGTTTGTGGGACACACTACAAGTTCAAAATGGGAGAATGTTTTATTTGCCAAAAAAACTATTAAGATAACGACGAGAAAAACAATATCACTCGATAATTATTAAATTTTGCACTGATTGTAAAATCTTACAGCATTTTATCTAGCCATTTGTGCGTATAGAGGTGGAATAATGCAAAGATTATAGGTAAAATTTACTAATTTTAAATAACTGCGAGAAAATAATAACGTGCAACGAAATTCCCAGCAAGCCAGTTGATTCACCATCGCCTTACGATCAATAGTTCATCAAGGATATCGTTTAAGAATGAGTAGTATATTTCTATGCTCAGTTCATGTTAAAACATTGATGAAGGAAACCAAATTAACTACTGCCAAATATACAGCTTAGTTTGATATTTTGGCCAAATAATGCTTATAATTAGCCTTTAAATCAAATAAAATAGTAAAACTTTTGGAGCCAATGCCCACCAATCCACTAGAATTTATGTCTGCACTTACCTGAGAAGTAATTAATTACACTTCAATGACCTTACGAAAGAACTCGACTTCGATACCTTCTTACCAATCAGCTTTGCCCTTTTAGAGCGAATAACTGTCAAAACAGAGACCACGAATTTAATTTACATAGAAAATTTAGAGCACGAGCTGACTATACAATCTGGTTAGAGCTGATTAATAAAGGTAACTCGAAACATTATTCCTGGATTGTTGTAAAAACTCTCAACAGATTAGAGTATGTAACTTATAATTATTAAAAAATACAGGATAAATAAATAGTAAGATGGTTATTAACAATCTAATAATACACAACCAATTGAAATAGAAAAAAACTACACACGTCCTAAGAGAAAATACATCGCTATTTCAAAGAGAAAGTGTGTTTCGCATGCTCATACTCCGCAAGAGGCTTTAGCTTGTATAATTCGCGCTGAACAATTTCAGTGAGTCGAGCATGAAGGTCGGGACCAGTACACTTTGAATTTCGAACCAAATGACCAACTTCAAACGGTTCGCCAGCGAACGCTGTAACAGCTAACCGTGGGCCAAAAACGCCTCTAATCGTATTGCGTACGTAGGGCTCTTTGCAAGGACTTAAATTATCGATACCGCAGTGCCAAAGAGGCAGAACAATTGGATCCACTTTTGCATCAGCAAGTAACCGACCAATACCCCATCGAAGTCGAATCTGAGTTTCCATATCTCGTTCATGTGGCATAATTACGCGACCCTGATAACGTATTTACTAAGGAAATAAATGACGACCGAACCTGGGAAAATGAGTGAATCCAAAATCCCGAATTCAGCAACTGAAGGGAAAAATCCATACTGGGTTGATAAACGCCAAAACCAGGTAAGACTATCTTTCCTGATTTAGGATCACGAACACGTCTCCAAACTGGAATCCCTTTTCCAGATGCGAAGAAGATGGAGTAAGGAGTATTCAGGAAACAAATATCAACAGCGGTTAATACCCATCTAAATCTATCAGCTACAACGTTAATACACTACTGAGAGACGTACCATCAGAAAGAATGCTAAATGGAAGAGCATTTCCAAAGAGAATAAAATCATCCAGGCACGAATGATGGTTTGAAACTGTTATTAGTGGTTTGTAGGAAGGTCTGTTACTGGCAACATCCCATAAGACTTTCTGATTTACCATTTTGAATTGGTGCCGCTGAAAAATCAACTTAACCATCGAGGAGATAAGTGAAACTGAGAAGCCATGCATGATTCGTTGACCAAGAGAACGCCTAGCAGCATGGCTATACAACTTAAAAGCCAAATCTACAGGTATGTGTGAAATATCTGTCATCTAATGAGCAGGTATATCTCGAACGAAATCGATGTCCACTTTGGAAAGTAAAAACACGACTTTAAATATTATTTTAAAGAAAATAAAGGCTTTGAAACCAGCAGAATTTAATAAAAAACGATGCTAATTAAAAATATATTACTAATTACATAATGCCATTATTACTAAAAAGGTATATTTTCATTAAAATACTCTACATCAAACTTTAATTTCCATCTTAAGAGGCATTTGAAGTATTTTAAAGCCAGAAACTGAAAATTTAAATAACTTCCTTAACTTGGAATCCTAGAAATACATGCGAGTCATCGATATAGAAAAGTTAGCATAAAATGAAATTTATCGTAATGACTACTCGGAGCCATGGCATTCATGGTAAATAAAATAAATTTCAAAAGCGACTGAGTGACAGATATAGTCTCCCGAATAGGAAACCAAGCCCAAAAAATGTAATTTCTCCATAGATGTATGCGTTTGCCTTTTAGGATTTCATAAAATTTTAACAAAGAAGACGAAACTAATTTAAGGGTATCTTTTAAATCATTTTTGTCGAGTTTCTTCTTCAGTATGGTAAAAAGTAATCCTAATGCGTTTTATGCGTTCCTATGAAGTAAGAGATCAATATACATGGGAATGAAATTGTTTGAATTATTTAAATCCGAAGGTCATGAATCGCGCATTTTTTTACTCTCCGACAGTCATATGGTGCAGCCCTAATATTACGAATACGCCAACCCATTTTAAATTCACTCAATTAGACAAAATAAAATTAATACCTTTAAATTTGAGAAATAACATGACCAATTTTATTATTAAAATGACGGTGGTAAGACCTTACAGAATTTCTGCTAGCTGAAATGTACATGTATTACTTATTTACACCAAAAATAGAAGTGGTATACAATAAATGTAAGTTATAAAGGATGCAAAGTGGATGCGAAATGGGGATGACGGTATAGGTGTGTACAAAAAAGGAAACGAATAAGTAGCAGTAAATAAGTATTTACACAGTTAAAAGACGCGCTTTATCTAAATACTCTCTTGTTCTCAAAGGGAACTTTTGGACCGACCGTCTACATCATCAGGAACATTTTCTTGTTTTAGAGTCGTTCGTAGGAATACCTGGAACCACCTCTGAGTACCCATGCTCGTATTCTTTATTCGCAGTTTCTATAGGCTAGAAGAGGAAAAATCGAGTACCAACGAGCGCAAAGCCATAACAACAGATAAACAAGCAATCCTCTCACAACTTAAGAGCAAACGTACTTGATTAGGAGTTTTAATAATATAATACCTTCGTACAGCTAAAACGCATCACACAAAAACTCATAAACGTTCAACACAAACTAACAAGAGCAAAATCTCAAATCAAGATAACTCGACAATAGCCTACAAGGATTGACAATCGATTGAGCAGGTAGGCAGGAAATCACAGCAACATTAGACTGTGAAGGTGGAATAGGCCTCACTTCGGTAATTGAACCCGCAGAAGCGCGTTTGGTACCAAAAAGACGTGAGCTAGCTGTCTGAGAACTAGCGGATGGAGTGGAGGATTGCTGAAGATTAGACGTCGGGGTGACAGTAAAAATACCACCAGCCTGTCCGGGTGAAACTATGGTGTATGTCACTGGTCGGACAGAACGCTGCAGAGTGGAAATAAGAGGCGATGTCTGCATATTTCTCAATGCATTACGCATGAAAGGTGGTGGCGGTGGACGGTTAACTAAAATGAACAAAGCGCACAAAAATTATATTCTGGCTAAAAACCGAAAGATTCATAATCAAATCATTCTGCAAACAAACCTGGTGAAGCTTTTCGTGGAGGCGGTGGCGCAATAGTACTTGAAGTTGGGGGTACTTCCTTGCGTTTAAGAATTGTTGGACGACGCCTAGTACTGGAATTCGCCAAAGAATTTGACAAACCCCCACCTTTAGAGGAAGCTGCTAATGAAGTGGATGATCTACTTTTAGAAGCATTTTGTGGTGTTCCATAATTTATTCTCCCTTGCATTAATGATATCTTAGACATCGGAGGAGTTGAAGTGATAGTGTACCCAGTTATTGGGGCTCTAACACTAGTATCTACAAATACTCGACCTGAAATAAAAAACACCTAAACAAAAGCAAATAATAATTAAAGTTTTATAATATAATAAAACATACCGTCTGTCTGAAGTGAAACCAATCCCGGATTAATAAGAGAATACTGAGCAGCATTTGCGATGATTGGTTGCACAGAAGAAGCCTGAACATTCGAGATGGGAATCTGAGTGGAAGTTTGGGAGGCTGGAACACTGGTCTGACCTGATGAATCGAGAACTGCAGCTGCACATAAATCCACTAAACCAGCAGAAGCTGTACTAGTAGGTTGAATAAGATTCGCACCAGAAGAATGACCAAGATTACCCCCATTCTCCGAGTGATATAGAGGAATTTCATTACGAATAACCTGCATTGGACGAACTGGGGATTTTCGACGACTACTACCCGAAGATGGAGGGCAATTTGAGCTTGTAGCAGTTTGTGGCAACAAATCACCAGCAAAGTCTTCAATCTCCACAGGGGCTTGCCTATTGTTCGAATTTAGGTCATCTGATTCAATACCCGCAATATGTCCGCCCCAATCACCAACCTCCAAGCGGCTAGAATCCTCCATAGAGATATTATGATCAAGGGGGAAATTACCACGAACTTGATGTCTGAAATCAGGATCTGAATCAGCCATATCGTAATCTATAATTAATAGGTATGGTAATGAATAATAAGCAATAAAAATTGAAATATAAAACGAAACAAAACCACTTGCATTCACTCTCATTATAATCAGGCATTTCTTTATTAACATCCCTTGATAGAGACGTTCGAGGAACGATACGATGACGGACACGTCGACTTAAAGATATTGGTCCACGACGTCTAGTAAAATCCGGTATCCCATCATCGAAAATTAAATCCGGAATGTTGGATTCATAATTCTAAACATCAACAAAGTTTCAAATAACAGATACAATTTAAAATCACAAATAAAAAGATAACCACACCTGGTGTGACTCGGAATGAAAATCTTCAGTACGATAAGAATCTCTCTTTTGAACCCTTCGAAACATTGGTTTTATTAATTGAGTGTTTTCATCATATTCAACTCGTGAATGACGATGCGAATAACTTTCGGATATTCTTCCTTCTATACCTTCAGAAAATTCTTCATCGCCAGAAGCTCCTACATCATAATTTGACAAATTGTCCTCAGAGTATTCCCCCATATCTGGAGAAAATACTCTTGGTCTTCTACCCCTGCGACCTCGTGGGGACCGCGAACGAACAGGCGAAGGACTTCTGTCGGTATTTTTCTTTCGATTCCTCTGGTAGTTAGCTGATGATGCAGCCATTAGAGCCAAAGGAGAAGTTCGATATTTAGTTTCATGGGATGAAACACGCTTCAGAGATTTAGAGGTCTTCGATTTATTAGATTTTTCCTTCGAATTTTCGCCCTCATTGTCATCATAGAGGAATCGACGACGAATATAGTCAGAAGTATCTGCACGCCGACGACGAGATTTCATCTGCGCATCGAAATTAGGAGATAGCTGTTCGGGCTTCGAAGTAGAATCATCCTTCTTCGATGAAGGTGCCTTAGATAGTTTACCAGATTTTTTCCTTGCATTTTTTTGCGGGGCTTGAACGTCCGAACTACATGTAAATTAAGATAAGCACTTAATTAACAATATTGATAATATAGAGTGGCAATGAAATAATGATTCATACCGGGTTCTAGTATTCGAAGACGGCGTTGAGATGGATTCTGAGATAGGTCGGGCCTTCCTAGTTGTACTATAAAAATATTAAAAATATAAATTATTTCGCACCGAATGTCCACGCGACGAGAGCTCATAACAGGTAGTATTTAACACGGTTTCGATACGAACTCGATCCTGAGATAATAAATGTTAACTTTAACAAGGATAATATTCCCAAGTCGTTATTTTTCAAGAATTGAACTAAGTATTATATGGTAATGCAAACAAGCATCAATATAACACTACGGCAGCCCGAGATAAATAACAACCAGTTCGTAACAATTTAGGTAAATTAAAACAAATATTTAATTAAGGCAAAAATTATCAAAATTTTTACTGGCTATATATGACTCATATATGCCTATATCTATGCAGTATGTTGAAAGAATAAAACTAAGGTAAGTTAAACCATATGAAATATTACTGTAAACTTTTTATGCACTAGAATTCATTAGTCGAAAAAAATTTTCATGATAACGGCTAATTATGCATTAATTAAGTAGTAATGATTTCCAAAATATGATTTGTTCCAAATTATTTTGGATAGTTCGTACTTTGGAGCTTTTGCAATATCGATTATTCAATTGATCATTAGTTTCCGTCGGTAGAACATCAATGATAAATCATTAATTAGCAGAAAAATTATATAAAAGTGCATTATTTCAAATCAAAAAAAGCAATCTTTCATGTACACTTTTAATATAGTTACTTGCCCAGAACGCAAGACTTTCTTTATTTTATCGTTCGTTCGGTGATTAATTCGAATTTGCGGATTCGTTTTACTCGTTTTTGAGTATTATATTCGGTAGTAATGTGTACTTGTTTTGATCTATTCCATGTCTATTTAGCTATTTATACTAGTGGTTTACTTTCAGGAGCAAAATATCTTGAGTTTTAGTTTTTTTCTTAGTTTTGTAATACCCTTTTTATATCTTCGTTAATTTTAGGCGAATATTATTTTTTAATGCATCATTTAGCCGCCGTGGCTACTTCTAATTCGCCATCTTCTGGAGCTAATCTACAAAATTCTCAACAATTACCTGACTATAAAATTGGAGCTGGTAATTTAATACTTGACGGAACCCCTCTAAATAACGATAACACTTTAAGTTAGTCTACAGCTTATTTTCTTTTATTTGCTTTCTTTTTAATTTATATTTTGTAATTTATTCTTCATTTTAGATGACCAAGAAAACTCTGTTATTGAATTTGAAGCTCGGTTGAGCACACTGCCAAAAATTCCAACTTCAAGACTTGGTAAAGGTGCAACCGCTCTTATTGAAGGCGATAATATTCCTTCAGTTTTTCCGCCTTCATTTACCGTTGTACTCGGTAATATGCCTTCCTATCTTTCCCACCGTCTCTTCACATCCAGTACCTTCCAGCAAATCTCCCAACCCGCAAACAATGTTCCCATTCAACCCTCCGCAGCTGCTATTATCGCTGCCCCAGTTGATCCGAAAATCTCAGGCTGTCTTTTCTACCCTATTCTTGAAGCAGATTCTCATTCTCATCAAGGTATTATTTCACTATGATTTCTTACTTTCTATTTCAATATTTGCACTGATTTGCTTTTTTTCTAATTAGATGTTCGAGAAGACATTACTGTAGTAATAAGCCACGTTGAAAACACTACAGAAGTAATATTTATTTCTGCGTTCTTTTGAAATGTAGATAGGCTTAATGCGAACAAGTTTCTTTTTATTTTTATCAACAGGTTGATGAATCCACAGCAGCTGTGGCCGAATTGACGTCAGAAGTTCCTGCGGTAAACATGAGCCATGCTGAACAGTATGAGGAGGAGGTTGATGAATCTATCCAAATCTCCACATCATAATTTTTACCTGTACGATATTTAGTCCTTATATCACTCGTTTTTATTCAATATTTTTCCGTATGTGTAAATAAATTTACATTGTCGATAAGTTGGTAATTTTCGTTTTTTCAATTAACTTAGGTTCATTTGATTTGGACTAATTACTGGAATCGATTATCATATTATAAATCTCTTTCGAGTTCATTTTGATTTTCTTGTATCGTTGAACATGATTAGTTATCAGATAAATCTAGCGTGATTTTAACAAATTTTAATAGCTGCATATCTGACCAGTTTTTTTGGACGTTTGGCCGCACCCTGCGAAGTGCTCCGATGAGCATTTTATCTTGTGATGTTTACGTACGCCAAAAGCTATGGACCTACTTTCGCTTAGCTTGGGAACAAAGCCTTATATTTTGGCTTCCTTGGTTAAGTTCATCGATTTCTCTAAAAGTAAAGCGGTGTGTCCGAATGTAACACTTTAGCATATACTTAAAGCTACCCACATTGGTTGCTGGGATTGCCCAGTTCGTTTGGACATCAGTATCTCCACATGACCCCTGACTCAGCAAATGTGTGCTTCGATTTTTCGCGTTGAGTTTTCTTCTCTTACAGGGTAGATTGTTCATACGTGCATTATTGCCTAATGTAATAACATACTATATTTGACCTAATCTTTTAAATAAAGAGAAGCCGGAATGTGAATGACATATCACTGAGCTTCCTGAAATGCAATGCGCCAAGATGAAAGAAATGTAATGAGTAGAGCTTCGGAGCTCTTAGAGAACACTTTCGACACTTGGAAGTGAGCTGCTGAATGTTCAGAATATTTACTTCTTAAAAGAACAAAATGCTTTTGGCATATCAAAGGATAAAATTTGGATAATATACTTGGCAATCGAACATAAATATAATTTCGTCAATTTAAAGTAATCACAAAGGATTTATGTAATCTTAAGAAATTCGGAGGCATTCATTTATTAACCTGTGAGTGCTTCCAGATTCATCGACATTTAACAAAATGTAGCTATATATATTCCCATGAAAGTTGAATACTCTAGATCAATTAAATTCGACTGAAATTTTTGACCTTTTGTTAGATCAAATCTAAATGAAATAGTGCAGAGGAAATAGAATATAATACATAACATAATCACTCACTTCCTTGAGGGAAAAACTATTCGATTGTGGAAGTTTCGAAAAGTATTATAAAATGTAATTATTTGAACGGTAATAAAATTTTGATTGTTTCATTGTCATAGGATATATTGAAAAAAAATTGGATCAGAATGACCTATGAATATAATTAAGGAGTGATAAGGATGCAAGTTTATTAGTAACATGTAAAAGAATTGAAATTTAGAACGGAATGGCAAAAAGTAAAATGTGGGGTGTTTTAACATTTAACAGGTATAATAATTTCAATTATGAGCGAAGATTGATTAGTTTAGAATTTTTATATACTAAAACAACGGAAAATTTAATAATAGTGGATAACAAAAATATTTCTGCAAGCAAGAACATGTTTAAATACGCAACTTTCTTTGCGGTCGAGTTAGGTTTGTTACGTGTTATCGTGTCAATGTGCTGAAAATTTTGTTAAAATGATGACATCCGGGTTTCAAAGCCCAGATAATAGCCCTCTGTCGCGTTCTGGTGTTCATTTAGATTATGCACCCGAGGATACATTAAAAAGCTTTGTGATGGAAAAGCGTCTTAATCCGAATTCCTCCTCTAGTCAACCCATTATTAAAAATTGCCTCAATGGAAAGGTAAATGATAACTAATACTTCCTAGGTTTAAACTTGAAAATATTGTCAAAGATATTAATAATCTTATCTTAATTGTCTAATGATTGTGCTTAATTATTCACGACTTTTAGGTGAATGTTACAAGTGCTCTCGTCGGAGGCAGTGATTCAGTGAAAATAAAGAGACCATTTCTGCGGAAAAATCAGGGCCGAGCTGCTTGGTGTTCTCGCTTACGTTCGCCTTCAAATAATATAATTGCGAATGTGGACAGTTCCAGAAAATCGGGTTTAAACTCGAACGAAAATGAGAAAAAGTCATCTGGAAATTTTAATCCTGCTTGTAATGAAATTAAATGTAAAAATGAAAGTGGCTTTACACCGTTTGTTAATATTTATTCCTGCGATTCTGCACAAGACACACACAAACCTATGAAATGTCTCTCGAACTCGTCATGTCTCAATAGAAATGAGAAATATATTAATTCCAATAATGCCTTAAATACCACTGGAGATGAAAAAGAATTAGAAGAATTTGAAATGTTGGAACGTCTTACAGAAAATCAGTTGAATACTTTGGATGCAGCACCGCCGACTTGCGATTTTGCTGAAAAATCTTCGATAGATTGTGCATTTACTAATTGCAAGCAGATGAATAACAACGGAGAATTTATGAATAAGTGGGTTTTGTCTCAACTCAGTTTACATAAGTCAAGCAGTTTTTATAGCTTCCGTTTTATTTTAGTAGTTCTGGCGGAGGATTTAGTTTTGGACATGTAAGCCGAATTACTTTTTCTTCAATGCGTACCACAAAACCTCACCTTTCCGCTATCGATTCAACTTCCGTGGAAAGTGAAGATCGGGAACCATGGGAGGAAGAAGGAAATTTAGTTTCGTCTAAGTGTAATTTTACTAAAATTAAGCTTGTATTTGGTAATTTTTTAATGCAATCGTACATGTAATACATTGAGCAATTTAATATTAGTTAATTCTGGAATATAAGTCCATCTTTGTTCATTTCATAGATAAATAATATATTTTGGAGTTTCCCTGTTTGATTAATGTTCATTTATCTGCCACTCAGCATTTAAATCTCCCAATGATTACTTTCGAACTCCGATTTCGCATCAAAGATTGATCACCTGCAACTGTATGCTCTGGACCTCTTTCATTACCCGATATAAAAAGCCTTAATCATATTGAGGCATTTAAAAAATAGACGGGTAAGAATGCAACGCAGGAACTACATGAGAAATCTTAACTTACTCAAATTTTATACGTTTGTCATTGTCTGCTTTTTAACAAGGGACGGAGTTCATTGTGCATGTGTACTGATTTTCAAATTTTTTGACTTGATTCCTGTGAGTTGCATTTCAAATATATTCAGAGCTGGTTGGTTACTTACTTTTATTATGGGTTGGTCAGGCCACCTACTTTCATTCTTACCCACTTGCTCTTAATGACAGGTAAACGAGATTATCAGATACGTTTCAGCATAGCAGAGATAAGCACACATTTCCCATTGTTTTATGTCAATCAATTCATTTTCACCTAGCCTCAGAAGATGCAACTCACTGTAAGCAAAAGTCCCTACCCTCAGTTCGATTTAATATTCCGGAGGAGCCTTCCGAATCCCATAATGAGAAGGAAAACTGTGTTGATTTGCCCTTAAATTCGGCAAGTTATTATCTATAAAATATGCCGAATAGACACTTTTAATAAATAAAACGTGTTATTTCGCCCATCAATCTTTTAGTTCGAAAAAGAACCACTTGATAAATCATCAACGTCCGTCAAGGTTTGGATCGCCCGTTTGGAAGCTGAAGTGAATAGATTCAATGCTGAAACCGGTACTTTGATCAGACTAAGAACGGAAAAGGAACAAGTGAGTTATGCACTATAGTTATTAATAAAGCGGGGCCAGGCTATTTATTATTTAATCGTATTTCTACAATTAGATGTGTAATGCTAATACGGTGCATTATAGAAGTGTCATTTTGATAGATCGGTATTATGGGCAGCTTCCTTCACAGCAAACGAAAATATAATGATGGTGGTGACATATCATTCAACCTTCACGAATGTCAAGTCAGATTTCATTGGTTTGTTGCCCACCAAGTGAACTGAACAGAAACCAAAACGTTACCAACGGGCCGATCGAGGAGATGCAGACCTGTCCATCACAGATTAGGGTTAGATGGGAGTCGAAAATTGCACCCTTAGTGGGCCTAAAATCAAAGAGGGTTATTGAGATGTTGAGGTTGGAATAAGCTCCCACTTACAGTTCAGTTTCTTGCCATTTTCGTACGTTGTTGCTTTGAGTTCGTTGCTCTGCGTTTTCAAAAATGTCATGAAATGTGCTATGGTTGCATTGATCCCATGGAGAGAGGAAAGGCAGTGACTAAAAAATTATCGCTTTTGACCTCTACTACAGTCACAATCCTAGCAACCTAGTATAGCTGATTTTACTCTTACCTTGCCAAGAGTCTTACTAACTATCTTCATTCTGTTAATTAATAATTAAATTTTGCAGTACTCTCACGACAATTAATGTCTTTATTGACAGCTGTCAGTCATTTTGGCGTCGAGCTGAATCTTTCTGTTCCATACGTATGATCCAATATTGATCCCGTTCGCTAATTATCCAGGGCTTAACAGCCACAGTAGTCAGAGATTCCAGGTGGGAAGCAGCAGGGGAAATTTTGTCTGCATGACTCGAGGAGTGTCCTTTGGGCTGTAGCAACTTAAACCATCTCTTATTCTCTGTGCGTCTGTTTTTTTGATCTTGCCAAAAATTTCCCCCCATCGGGCAAGAACCTGATTATGCCTCAACTGGCTGTTTCACTTTGTCCCCATGTTTCCTTATCTTTATCAGCCTATTTTCGTATGCCTTTTCTATGTGTGAAGTTGGCCGTTGTAACGCTTGTGTGGGCTTGTAGCAGCAAAAGTCTTGTTTGCGTCCAATCTTCTTGATAGAGGTTAAAGCGTTCAGTTAATTGTTGCGGCAAGGCCATAAATGCAATTGCCACGATGCTCCAATACCTTTTTTCTGCATAACAGCCTTTTAATCGTCATTGGAATTCTTCATGTTTTTGATGGCCAATGCAAAGCATCATAGCACAAGTTGCTCTCTTCCATGATTCAGGTGGGTTCCAGCTAACCATTCTCGTTATCATTACACATATGAACAATGAAGGGTTTAAATATTTAAAGCAAGTCCAGTGTAAGTGGACACCTGCTGTGGCTATGGCATGGAAGTAGCGTGCTACTGATGTGACATTGATGTTAAACTTCAGGTGCATGCCAGACCATTAGTTCACCTTCCAACCAAGCTTAATTTTATCGATCAGAGTCCACCATTACCTTCTCATAACTCCCCCATATTTTATTTATCCATCCAGATTTAGCCAATATTATTTGCAATTTATTGTGTTTAAGAAACTTGCAATTTTTAACATAATAGTAAAATATATTTTGAACTTCAGGCACTTTCGGCTCTTGAAAAGGAAAAGAAAGAATTCGAGAAGTTCAAGGAGACTACAATGAAGGAGTTTGAGTCCTATCGGCAGGATGAAATCAGTAAACTCAAGTATGTTAATTTTCTCTCGTAGCACATTTAAACTCTTCTATTAATATGCTATTTCCTTTTGCCTTGAAGGAGGGAACGCAAAGTCCTTTCAGATTACCAAAAGAGTTTGCACACAATGCCACAGAAACGCGATCGGGAAGAGATTGAACGACTAAAGCAGCAGGTACCAACATAAGTTTCTTTGGTATCATACTAGTTGTATATGATTTTGCTAAGTGTAGAGTCTTCAAGTTTTAAACAAAATTTTTGTTCGCCATGGCGATTAGTAAAACGGATACACTTTTATTAGCGGAGAAATGAATGAAATGATCACTCCCATATTACTGAAGACTCTTATCAGAGAGGTAATTATAGAGAGGGAGATGGTTGTAAAGTTTCCAATGTTAGATTTAATGAGGAGAGGTCAAAGGGAACTCAGAAGTTTTCAACCTACAGAATTTGAAACATTTGCGAATGTTCCTCTCAAATAATACAGGTGTCAAAGTTCAAACCAAATTTAATCATTCTACGGTCTTAAACAGGTTTTCAACCGATATTATCCAATGATTTTCGTGATTTATTCAATATTTTCCGTTTTTCTTTAGGATTAAATGACGCTTAACCTCCTTTAATGTCCGTTTTTTTTCTGACCAGTTGAGCGATGAAAAAGCTGAGGCCGCACAAAGAGAAACACGTCTCCAGCACCAACTTAGTAGACAACGTCTCCGTATAGAAGAGCTTACCACAGAGAAGAATGAGCTTTTGGAGCGTATCAAGAGGCTGGAGGAATCTCGTTTGGCTATGCAAAATGCAATTGCCGAGGAAAGGGCTAATCGCTCACTCAATGGATCTAACAAGCTTCACAGAAATGTGAGTCTTAATTTAATTATATGTATCTAGTAAGAGTGAACTCTCTTCGCTCTTAAAGACTGGTTATTGTTTAAGGTCCTATTCTAACTGTTTTAA